AAATGACCCTTTTATTTTCATTAACAGCAGCAATTAAATTATACTTTTATCAAGGGTAATTTAGGGCCTTTATACTAATTTGCCATTTAAATTCTTTATTCTGTCAGCCGTCCAAGGTCTGTAGATGATGTTGCTTATCAAGATGAAGTTGTATCTGTGTTAAAGAAGTCATTGGAGGGAGCTGATCTTCCTAACTTGCTGTTTTACGGCCCTCCTGGAACCGGAAAAACATCCACCATACTTGCAATTGCAAGGCAACTGTTTGGGTATGTACTTATAGCAGAGATACCAACCTAAAAAATGAAATCCAGGAGATCACTGATTTTACCTTCTCAACCTTAAAAGAACATTGTTGAAAGTAAAGTTCTGCCAGTTCAACCACAAAAATGTGTCAAATTAATATCTAAAAAATTTCCAGTGAAATGCCAAAAATCAGCAGAAAAGTGTTAAAAATGTTGCTTTAATTCTTTCCTTCACGTAATTGGAGATTTGGTGAATTGCATGGGAGACTGGGAGGCAGTGGTGGTGGCAGCGTGGCCTAGTGGTTAGAGCGCCGGATTTGAAATCCGTAGGTCCCGGGTTCAAATCCCATTCTGACCGCTAGCTGATGTTGCTCTCGGTAGCCCCGAGTTCAACTTCTTGACTGCACTTATTTATCATTGTTTATTTTCATTGGTCCTGAAAAGCCCCAATGGGGAGTGGCCAATTACGTATACATACATACATACAGATCGCCGGAGCCTGTATAAGGGAAACTCCTGGATAACTGAGAGATGTAAACAAAGCCTTTTCCTAAATGTTTATTCTTTAATTCTGTATATGGTCAGTTTCTGCTAGAGACATGTTCTGTGCAACAAAAGTTATGAAAAATGCTAAATTATTTGAAATTGAAGGAACCAATGCCTGACTGAAAAAAAAAAAGAAAATTATTTGTAGTTGAGGAGGTGGATGAAAATCCTAGAAATTTCCAAGATCTTAAAGTAATTTCTATGGGGTTGTTAAGACCTGGCCCCATTTGTTCGAAGGCT